ATGCGTATGTGGCCCCATGTGTGAAATTCAAATAGGGACCAACACTCAAAGAAGAAATCTCTCTCAAATACCCCCTGTGGGCCTTCAAGCAATCCCCTATTCTACCAAGCTTAACATAAAAAAAAAAAAAGTTCCTCACAGATCAGGACACACAAACCCAGAGCAGTATAAGACCGGCCAAAACAACAGATGCAAAATCTGCCAACGTATCTCCACTGCTACATTGATCGATATCCACTACCACACAGCTTTCATGATCCAAGGGTCAGAGGAATGCCTATCACAACATGTGGCATATCTCATCCAGTGCATCAAAAGCCCCAATAACTATGTGGATGAATCTAGACTATCACTATGTTCTTGAAAGAACTCCCACAGTAAAACAAAGGACAAAACCATCCTGTCACCCATGGGCAAATGCTTTTCACAAAGTAATCACTGCACATCTGACCTGCTGGTCCTTTCCCTCAAAGGAGACCTGTACAACACCTTCAGAAGATGAGCCTGGGATCTTAAATTCATAACTCTGCTAAATCCTTTAAATTATGGACTCAATATGGTTTTATGGCTCATTACAACAATCTGTAAGACATCCCACCTGCTAATCCTAACCAGTCTATTTAGTTTTAAGTCGTCTCCTAAAGCATGTGTAAATTCCATAGGCTTAAGAGTCTGTCCTAACTTGTATTTCTGGTTACCTTTCTCAGTCCTGAAGTGTTCTGTGAAAATCAAAAGCTTCTTCCCCCAACAGAAGTTGAACCATTAAAAAATTTACCCTACCTAACCTCCCTGACTACAACAACACTGCAAATAACTCAGTTATAATATGCATTGATATTTGAGGAGCAACATTAAATACAATCTTCTAAAGAGATTTAATCTCTTACAAGAATTAAACAGATACCAAATGAACACATGGGATTGGAATTGGCAATGTTTTGGTTCTTTCTTAAGCTTGGAAGCTTTCTACGCAGTCTATAATATCTACAATATAGCCTTGTTTGTAAAAATAAATCTTTCCAGGGATCTACTGGCACAAGAATAATTTCCCCTTTAATCAAGGATTTGTAACTCTGGTGTCTGGAATTTGTGTAGAACATATATGAGAAAAAAAATCATTAAATTTCTTCAAAACAAACATAGCACTGAAGATGTTAAATTCATTGATTTAAAAATGGGTGCTTACTAGCCACCTAAAAAAATGGCCTGATTTTCACTGGGAAACTACAGTTTTTATTGACATTGAAGAGCAAAAATAGAAAGCAAAATTAACTTTTTTCTGAAAGATTAAAATGCTTCTCAAGACAGCCAAAATAAATTAACTGTTTTACTAATATTACTTTTCTGTGTAAGCCATTGCTTAGGTTGGCACTGGGACATTTTGGGATCATGAATGAAGAGGTGAAATGTGAATGGAAGGCAGGTAGACCACAAGACCATGTTTGTGTTGAAAATATAGTCCATACCAAAATGGCTAAGAACCGCTACTGTAGAATATGAACATTTATCATCTCACCTTTTAAAACCTCCTGGGTATATTTTCCTAAGTAATAGTTTCGAAGTTCATCATTCGCTAAAGACTGGTCGTCAATCCCATTTGCTGTGATATAAACATCTATATCACCATAGGTTTTTTTAATCCATTTTAGAACTTTGCGCATCCCCCAGGGTACCACTGCCAAACGAGATGGGGAACTCAGGCATGTGATATCCTGCAGGAATTGAACATCCCGATCAAATTCATACCAGCTCCCATTTTGAAGTTCATGAATCACAAATCTTGTTGTAAAATGATTCAGTGCATAGAAATCAGCTGCACCTTTAACAAGTTTTTTTTCTTCATCTGTGAAATATGGCAAGAAGGAACTTGAGAGTCCTCTTTTGTTTTTAGATACAATGTATTCCCTCATGGCTGCTGGATAGTCCCCTGTCTTAAAAATTGGATCGGCAAACCAGGCTATTTCAAACTGAAGAAATCTTTCAGCAGCTTTTAAGTGAGAATCAAAATAGGGATTGGCAGGCTCAGCCCAATCTGAATGCAGAGACAAAGACACTAGACCATGCTGAAAAGATCTGTATTGCTGGTCATATATTTGCCAGGCCCTAGCATGTGCTATCAGTAAATTATGTGCTGCCTGATAGGTATCATTGCTGCTACTATTATAGACATCGCTTAATCGGTTTGGCTCATTTATTGTGATCCAGAGTTTAACCAAGTCACCAAGTTCCTGAAAACACAAAGCTGCGTAGTTCTGAAAAGCCTGAACAGTAGACTGATTTAGCCATCCTCCTCTCTGCACCAAAGGACCAGGCAAGCCTAAATAGGCGTGTGTTGGATAGTATAAGGAGACCATAGATTTAATATTGAGTTTCAGTAATTCTCTAATCACACATCTGTAATATCGGAGAACTTGTCTGTTGATGGCTGACAGATCCCCGTTAGGTAAAATTAATGACCAGTCAAGTGCAAATCTGTAATGTGTTACTTCCATTTTGTCCAGGAGATCAAGTTGTTTTTTAATACTGACAAAATCAGTACACTGAGCTGGTCGGGTTTTCAGCTTCACTCCTTTAACTCGGTGCAAAAGCCCATCTCCAGAGATGTTCCAGAGATACAAATTAGGATCACAGAACTGTGGAGAGGAAGCCACAGTTTCTGCCTGTAAAACAGATGGAAAGAATGAACTGCTGCCTTTTTATCAGAGGCAGCAGTGCAAGGGGGTAGGGAGCAGGCAATCTCTGTGGGATCCTCTGTTTGTGGCAAGCCAGCTTAAAAGCTGGCTCCCCATGGACATCGACTCCCATCTGCCCCCCACCCCCGCTGCCTCTGATACAGAGGCAGCAAAGGGTGTGTGTGCATGTAGTCATTTGGATTAATGGCTAAGCCCATGCTTATCGGTTAATTGTTTAAATGTCTAACATCCCTAGCTTGGAGTGATTACACTGCTGGTCAGGTGAGGCCAATCACATGGGGTGTCCTTGGCCAGGATCAGAGAGAGCATGAAAGCACCTGGTGAAGAAGGCTCATTGGCTTCTCAAATTTTGGGAGGAAAAAAAGAGAGACACACTGAGATGTTGAGATGCACCTCACCCAAACATTACAGGTACTGCTGATGTTCATCACTGATGGAGAGGGAGTGAGAGCAGGAGATGCAAATCTTGACTCATGGGACTCTGGGCATGATCCTGGAGTTGGGGAGCAGTTCACCAACCAGGGAGAAAGAAATGCTTTATACTATACTGTAAACTTTAACTACTAAGCTATGAAATATAAATATTTAAAAGCTTTCTCTTTCTTCCCAGGTTATACACTACAGTGAATAAGGAAACAATTCTGACCCATGTCATGCGATGGTAAGAAGGAACTGGAGAGGCACTGACACATACTGCCTCTTATAACCTCATTCAGGGGCATGATGATAGCTACTGCATGTGTGGGGGCCAACATTCACTGTTTTGAACAATTTCCAGACTTAGGCACATGATGCGTATGTGGCCCCATGTGTGAAATTCAAATAGGGACCAACACTCAAAGAAGAAATCTCTCTCAAATACCCCCTGTGGGCCTTCAAGCAATCCCCTATTCTACCAAGCTTAACATAAAAAAAAAAAAAGTTCCTCACAGATCAGGACACACAAACCCAGAGCAGTATAAGACCGGCCAAAACAACAGATGCAAAATCTGCCAACGTATCTCCACTGCTACATTGATCGATATCCACTACCACACAGCTTTCATGATCCAAGGGTCAGAGGAATGCCTATCACAACATGTGGCATATCTCATCCAGTGCATCAAAAGCCCCAATAACTATGTGGATGAATCTAGACTATCACTATGTTCTTGAAAGAACTCCCACAGTAAAACAAAGGACAAAACCATCCTGTCACCCATGGGCAAATGCTTTTCACAAAGTAATCACTGCACATCTGACCTGCTGGTCCTTTCCCTCAAAGGAGACCTGTACAACACCTTCAGAAGATGAGCCTGGGATCTTAAATTCATAACTCTGCTAAATCCTTTAAATTATGGACTCAATATGGTTTTATGGCTCATTACAACAATCTGTAAGACATCCCACCTGCTAATCCTAACCAGTCTATTTAGTTTTAAGTCGTCTCCTAAAGCATGTGTAAATTCCATAGGCTTAAGAGTCTGTCCTAACTTGTATTTCTGGTTACCTTTCTCAGTCCTGAAGTGTTCTGTGAAAATCAAAAGCTTCTTCCCCCAACAGAAGTTGAACCATTAAAAAATTTACCCTACCTAACCTCCCTGACTACAACAACACTGCAAATAACTCAGTTATAATATGCATTGATATTTGAGGAGCAACATTAAATACAATCTTCTAAAGAGATTTAATCTCTTACAAGAATTAAACAGATACCAAATGAACACATGGGATTGGAATTGGCAATGTTTTGGTTCTTTCTTAAGCTTGGAAGCTTTCTACGCAGTCTATAATATCTACAATATAGCCTTGTTTGTAAAAATAAATCTTTCCAGGGATCTACTGGCACAAGAATAATTTCCCCTTTAATCAAGGATTTGTAACTCTGGTGTCTGGAATTTGTGTAGAACATATATGAGAAAAAAAATCATTAAATTTCTTCAAAACAAACATAGCACTGAAGATGTTAAATTCATTGATTTAAAAATGGGTGCTTACTAGCCACCTAAAAAAATGGCCTGATTTTCACTGGGAAACTACAGTTTTTATTGACATTGAAGAGCAAAAATAGAAAGCAAAATTAACTTTTTTCTGAAAGATTAAAATGCTTCTCAAGACAGCCAAAATAAATTAACTGTTTTACTAATATTACTTTTCTGTGTAAGCCATTGCTTAGGTTGGCACTGGGACATTTTGGGATCATGAATGAAGAGGTGAAATGTGAATGGAAGGCAGGTAGACCACAAGACCATGTTTGTGTTGAAAATATAGTCCATACCAAAATGGCTAAGAACCGCTACTGTAGAATATGAACATTTATCATCTCACCTTTTAAAACCTCCTGGGTATATTTTCCTAAGTAATAGTTTCGAAGTTCATCATTCGCTAAAGACTGGTCGTCAATCCCATTTGCTGTGATATAAACATCTATATCACCATAGGTTTTTTTAATCCATTTTAGAACTTTGCGCATCCCCCAGGGTACCACTGCCAAACGAGATGGGGAACTCAGGCATGTGATATCCTGCAGGAATTGAACATCCCGATCAAATTCATACCAGCTCCCATTTTGAAGTTCATGAATCACAAATCTTGTTGTAAAATGATTCAGTGCATAGAAATCAGCTGCACCTTTAACAAGTTTTTTTTCTTCATCTGTGAAATATGGCAAGAAGGAACTTGAGAGTCCTCTTTTGTTTTTAGATACAATGTATTCCCTCATGGCTGCTGGATAGTCCCCTGTCTTAAAAATTGGATCGGCAAACCAGGCTATTTCAAACTGAAGAAATCTTTCAGCAGCTTTTAAGTGAGAATCAAAATAGGGATTGGCAGGCTCAGCCCAATCTGAATGCAGAGACAAAGACACTAGACCATGCTGAAAAGATCTGTATTGCTGGTCATATATTTGCCAGGCCCTAGCATGTGCTATCAGTAAATTATGTGCTGCCTGATAGGTATCATTGCTGCTACTATTATAGACATCGCTTAATCGGTTTGGCTCATTTATTGTGATCCAGAGTTTAACCAAGTCACCAAGTTCCTGAAAACACAAAGCTGCGTAGTTCTGAAAAGCCTGAACAGTAGACTGATTTAGCCATCCTCCTCTCTGCACCAAAGGACCAGGCAAGCCTAAATAGGCGTGTGTTGGATAGTATAAGGAGACCATAGATTTAATATTGAGTTTCAGTAATTCTCTAATCACACATCTGTAATATCGGAGAACTTGTCTGTTGATGGCTGACAGATCCCCGTTAGGTAAAATTAATGACCAGTCAAGTGCAAATCTGTAATGTGTTACTTCCATTTTGTCCAGGAGATCAAGTTGTTTTTTAATACTGACAAAATCAGTACACTGAGCTGGTCGGGTTTTCAGCTTCACTCCTTTAACTCGGTGCAAAAGCCCATCTCCAGAGATGTTCCAGAGATACAAATTAGGATCACAGAACTGTGGAGAGGAAGCCACAGTTTCTGCCTGTAAAACAGATGGAAAGAAATGTATGAAAATGTAGTTTAATTAAAAAAGTATTTGTTACCTTAATCTCCACCCATAACACAGAATTAGTTTTCGTTTTATTTGCAATGCATGGAGGCAAGAATCCTCAGTGCTGTTTAGTCCTAGTTTTTGTATATTATCAGTTTACAAGCACATCACAACTTCTCAGAACACAGGACTTCAAATTTGGCTAAGAAAAAAATTAAAAAGGTATGGGAAGAAATATGGACCAAAATGAAAAATGGACAAAGGTTCTATGAAATAAGTTCTGAACTTGAGAATCATGTTATACTTTACACCACAGCTATGATAGAATATGAGAACTAACTATATTATGATCTGAATGGCTATTTATATCTACCAAACATGCAAACAGGGATTCTGTGAGGCACGCAAAGATTAAAAACCAAACAGTGCTGCGTCTGGTATATAGAAAGAAAGAATTTTTTTACGAAGAACTGAGATGCCACAAGGTGAAAGAACATAGTCCAAAAGGATTGTTGAGAGTACCTGTAAAGTGGAGTAGCATTAAATAAGCATTACTGTGCTTTTTAAGGATACCAAGTACAGTGAGAGGATATACATTTGCTTATGTGAAAACACTGGTAGGTGATTGTCAGAGCCTCACAGTCTGAGGCTACTGCATCATAAAATGACAAGAAAAGAAAGGCAGATGAGGGCAGACAAAACAGGAGATCAGACCTAACCTGAAAGCTCCTGAACAATGCGGAAGTTCTTGTTGTAAGGAAAGACTAGCCACTAAGCCCTGCTAGGCTGAAAGTTTTATTTATTTATGCTATTTTATGCTAGACTTTGAGACTTTGGGGGTGGCAAATGGTAGGAAGTGGTTCAGGGGGATGACCTCAGTGAACTTTTGGGTGATGGATACTTTTGCCTCTCATAGGACCAAGGACCAAAGCTCAGTGGAGGGGAGGGCCCAGGCTCCCCTGTGAACCTCCCTTTCAGCCCTCCTCTCCAATGTAAAGGGGGATAGAAACACTGAGAGCCTCAGGGTGAGGATAAGTCCAGAGATGGGCTGAAAATTCTTCCCTGGGGCTACATCTACATTGCAGAGTTTTTGTACAAAAGCTTGTGGAGAGTCCAGACTACAAATGCGTTCTTGCCAAAAAAAAAAAAAAAAAAAACAGTAAATTGTAAGAACACAGAGCTTTTTGCACAAGAGTTATTCCTCTTTCTACGAGGCTAAAATGGCCATCCGAGCTTTCTTGCACAAGAGAGCGTCCACACTGCCATGGACACCTTTGCGCAAAAGCACATCTCTTGCACAAAAGCACATGGCAGTATGGACGCGCTCTTGTGCAAGAACTCTTGAGCAAGAAGTCTGAAGTGTAGACATAGCCTTGGTGAGGACCTGGAGCTCTATATATTTGCCTGTACTTGGTTTCCACAGTAGGGGACAAACTAAATCAGTGACCTGGCCAGATGGCTGTCTCACCACCCATCAAAAAACCCATTCACACAATACTGGAGTAAATGTCAACAAGGGGCACTGGAAATGGGGATGGAGCGACTTAGCCCCAGGCCTAAGCAATGCTGGTAAGCTCAGCACTGTAACACACATACATATGTACAACACATTATGGTTATTAACTGTTGTATTAACAGCAAAATTAACTGTTGTTTACAGTATACTGGTCTTACCTTCAGAACAGCTTCTGTAATACCCCAGGAAAAGTCACAGGGAAATTGACCTTGCAAAGCTTCAGTAGACTCTTTGAGGAAGAAGCCATTTCTTTCAATTATTTCCTTGTAATACAATGCAGATGACTTCGGAATCCTCTCTTTCTGTTTACTGCTGAAATCTACATAAAATAGCCCACGTCTAGTGCTGTAAGCATGTTGCCATTCAAAACCATCAAGAAGAGACCAAGCGGTATAACCAAACACATCTATTCTGTCGTATTTAATAGCTGCATAGGAGAAATAAATAACAATGTGTTGTATGTTAAAGTATTCATGAATAAATACATTGTGATTTAAGATATGAGCATGCATTATAACTGAGTTGAGAGTGTTGTGTACTATGAAATTGCCTGTTTCTCATCACTCAATGGTACTGACTTCCTGAGTTTCCAAGGTGTGCTTGAACCCTTACTCCACCCAAGGTCTGCTCCTGCTTCATCCATTCCCCCAAGCCTCCACCCCAACCCTGCCTCTTTCTACCTTTGCTCCCCTCACTCCTTTCCCTCCCTGCAGCACCACCTGCACACCACTAAACAGCGGAGGATTACAAAGAGATTTAAGACAGTATGTCTTGAACTAAGTAATTACTAGCACTTTTCTGCCTAAGGGAAGGTAAATTATTGGTACAGGGTCTGAATCATTCCAGGTTTTGAATGTGGCATGTGCTGAAACAATAGCCAACACAGAGGAACATGCAAAAATCTGTGTTACAGTTGCTTATCACAACCAGTGGGTGTCACTAACAGAGTGAGGAAAAATAGAAAACTGTGTGTGTGAGGCGGGGGAAACAAATATTGAATTTGTAGTGGGATTACGTAGTAGAATTATTTACAAGTAATGCAAAATGCAAATTTAACCGTTGAAAAGTTTTTCATCACTTAGGCCTTATAAACGGACACTATCAAGATTAAAATTGTGTATTTAAAATAATTTGTGTTACATGTTACAGCTAAAGAATCATTACCATTTCTGCCATTTATTTACTTTTTGCATTTTTCTATGTTTGGAAAATGAACTTAAACTTGTTAGTTTAACTTTTGCTAAAAGGCATTTTTATGGTTTCCTTCTCATGTACTAACATTTTCAATGATACAGGGTAACGTGCAAAATAAAAGTAGACACTGTTTGAATCAAAAGAAAAGTAACACATAGACCTATTCATATGGTTTTGTAAAATTTTCTTTAAACCAAACCTAAATACTGGGCCTAAGCTCTTTTATAACAGGGATAATCTTTTGTTCTGTGTTTGTACAACACCAGGCACAATGGTTGACCCATGACTTGGTGCTGGTGCAATACAAATAATTACTAACAATAAACTTAGTCAATAGTATCTCCTTTAAAGATACACTGAATGTTTTAAAAGTACTGAGTTTGTATACAAACCTTGTAAAACCTTATTAATGAAGTTCTTCATCATGTAGATGGCTGTGGTGTCTTCTGTTTTCACATGGCTGTCAGTGAACCAACCATTTTCTGCAATGAGGATTCTGGGATTGGTGTATTCTAATTTAATCCAATTCAGTGCTTCCCGCAAATTGAGTGACAAATTTTGTCCCATTTTAGCTAGTGTGTTTGGGGGTTTAAAATTATTAGGACCAAAGGAAAATGCAAAGAAGTCAGCTGTTCCTTTTATATAGTTTTTCTCGGACTCAGTAAAATTGGGCAGAATAGAATATAATTTATTTTTCAGTTCTTCTGGGTAGTCTCCATCCCCATGAATGGGCTTGGCAAACCATCCTAGCACCCTTTCCATGGACTGCTGGCACTTATTAATGTCCAAAGTATCATTTGATTTGTTAGGTTCAATCCAATGTGATCCCAATGTTATTGACAAAAACCCCTTCTGATATAGCCGAAAGTGTGTGTTGTAGTTATGCCAAACTTTTGCATGAGCCTAATGAGAAAAACAAACAAAACATACCGTTAAATTTTGATTCTCTGAAAGTTATAAGGCATTTATGTACAATATTAATGTAATCTACAGTGGTCTCTGAAACATTAATGAACAGCATAGGCACAGAGAGAGATATTCATTATGCTGTTGGAATATAATAATTAATCTCAATAGTTACTGATCCATTTAAAATATCAGCATGAATGTGCCTTCTCCTTAGCAAAGGTTACACATGTTGGGAGTTTCAAAATTAGTTTTCATGAGACAGAATTATCTGGCTACTACTCTATCAACCATACTGTTGTCTGAGGGATACTTGAGTTTGCTAGGCACACAAATCATTCCTGTTAGCCTGATCTTCTCAGGATACACTTTTCTTAACCATGCAAAAGCTCCATGTGTAAGTGCTTGCTGGTAGAAGAGGTAAGTTTTGCACAGTGTTTAAACCTTAATAATTAGAGAAGGGCACCAGCTGCTAAGCTTGGACTCAGATATCAACTTTCCTGAAGTTTGATGGATTTTTGATTCAGGATTTTGGTTCATGCCCATTCTCTGCTTTAAAGTTTCTGTCATCACAACTTATCTGAAAATGCATGAGGCAAAACACAATGCAACTTTCTTCTAATGCATGTTGTCTCTGCAGTATTGACTGTAGTATCAAATATGTGTTACTAGTAAAGTAACCAGATATGGCTCAGAAGATACACCAGTAGCAGATAAATAATAAAGGTTGAACCACTGTAGTCTGGAACCCTTGGGACCAGGCCAGTTCTGAACGAGATAATTTTCTGGACCATGGGAGGTCAATACTGTAAAGCAGCATTACTTCCACTGATTACTGTGCTGTTACAGATCATTTCGGGATAAATTAGAACTAAATAACAGCACAGAACACTGAGAGCTAGGACTGGTAGCTGTAAGCAAACTTGATGGGTTCACAGGAAACTTGGCCACATCCATGAAAAGTGGACATCCAGTTAACTAACATCATTCTGGTTGACGAATGTTTCTGGACGAGAGAGTTCTGGATTAGAGAGGTTTAACCTGTAGTACTCACAGTGGACCACATTTTTAAGCCAGCAGAAGTTTTACTAATGACTTCAATGGCAATAAAATGGCACTTTGGGCAAAACTTTAACCATAACTTTGGCCAAGATCATCCAATTTTCTTAACCTGATCACATTAGAGAGATGCGTATTATGTATCACATACCACGATGATCTTAATATGTCATGATAACTCATTCCATGTTCATCATTTAAACTTTGTCTGTGATTTATGTATGTAAAACCATACATGAGATCTTAGTATTTATCTGAACAAGATGGGGAATTTGAAACTTATTCAGAGAAAGAGTTGGACAAATGAGGGGTTTTCCAATGGATTTGACATACATGAAAGCATTTGATCTCTTCCTCAGATAAAGGAGTTTACCAGATAATTGAGAGTTTACTTTGCTTCTCAAGTATAGATCTTTACTTTGGGCTGAAAAAAAATTGCACTATTTACGTACAGAGAAAATACTGACATGTCAAACGCTTATAGTTTTGAGTTACATTGACATAATTAGCAAGCGAAATAATACTGCTTAGAGACAAAGTAATTTTAGTTAAACAATTTCAGACATTTGGCACCTATTTTGGATTGAAAGATACTGATAGACTCAAAGTGAGTGGTGTGAGACTTAAATGTATGTTGGGAAAGTAAAAGAATATTTGAGAATGACAGTTTGGTGAAATCTTATATATCTTTTGTTTTATGGTTGCCCCTGACATCGATATCAGGTCTATCTTTAGAAACATTGATAAAACTTAACTTTAATCTTTGAAATGCAGAATCTGTAGCTAAAAGGGGAAGTCAGCAAAATGGTACTGTATTTATGAGGCAAATTTCAAGGTACAGTTTAATATAATGTCACTGTTCTCTTAAGATTCCAGTTAGAGAATATCACTTCCACAACACATTATTTATCGACATCACAAAACCCACTATCAAAACTGATGCTAGCTGGCCTCCTTGGCAGAGAGGTCAATGTTTAGACAGGAACACAGACAAAACTAGCCTCTTAAAGCTTGTTTATACTTAAAATGCTACAGCAGCACATTTCCATTGCTGCAACTCTGCCATATAACACGTCAGTACAGATGCTCCTTAAGCCGAAGGGAGGGTAAGCATAAGTAATCCATCTCCCCAAGTGGCAGTAGCTACTTCATTGGAAAAACTCTTCTGTTGACCTACTGCTATCTACATGGGGACTTCAGTCACTTAATAATACTGCCTCAAGAGAGTGGATTTTACCAGTGTAGTTAAAGTGACCTAATTTTCTAGCACAGAGCAGGCCTTATTCTCTTCCAGATGTCCCTCCAACACAGGGATGGACAGTGTGTGAAGGTTACCTTTGCCACTAACCTATTTAGTACTTCTTTTGTGGTAATTTCCACTGCAGTCAGCCTGACACCTTTTTCAAACACTGTTTCAACAATTATTAATAAAAATAGTTGTCACATCACTTTAGAAGAAAAATAACTGCAGAAGTTGTCAGCGTATACTATTATGAATCATGGCACTATTCGTGATGTTAGATAAATCAGAACAATTTAAATGGGTGTCCACATATAGCTATGGAGGGAAAGGGAGTGTTCAAAAAAGAATCCAGAGCTAAAATGCAGTGGTTGATGGTGAAAATGCAATAATAGAGAATTTATGTGAGCCTTCAGAAGGCTGCTATAAACAAATTAAATATGTAACTATTATTCAAAAGCCTTGTTTACCCTGGGGATTTCAGCCACTGATACCAGTCACCAGTGTATTTTACTATTGTACAACCCTAATATAAATAGACAAGACCACTATTAGCTAGGATTAGCACTGGTGCAGCTTTACTCCACTTTCAATATGGGGTAAACTGCATTGATATGACTGCTTAACCTGTTCGCTGCACTAGACGTTTTTACTGGTACAATGGGGATGATAAGGGGCTGTTGTGAGGCTTGATTCATTAATGTTTGCAAAACAAAATTGTTGGGTGTTATATAAATGCCAAGTAATATTATGGATGGAAACAATTTATTGATCTTGCAGTGCTATAGATTAATCATAAAATAAATATCAGTTTTAAAGTTAGCTCACACAAAACATTGGCTATTTTGAGTAAATATTGACTGTAATCTTTTTTCAGTTAGAGTTTAATACCTAATCTTTCATTTGCCTTTTAGATCAAGGCTACACATCAAGGCTATGTACACAATGGATGCAACATCAATACTGTGCTTTTTATTCTAGGCACATGTGACATTAATTTCAGCATGTTTTCCTGATATGAATATAGCAAACAGACAATGGACTTGAAGTCAAATACAATGTTAAATTAATTAGTATAAACCCATTAAGAATGTTTAAAACACAATAGCCTTTTTAATTAAATAAGGAAACAATATAATGTATTTATTTCTTAACTAGTAAAAATGTTATCTGATAATCATGTTTTGTAAGTCCTTTAGCATCTAAGGCCCTGATCCTGCACTAAACCCTGTACAGGTACAGGGAGCTGCTCCTGTAAATTCCTTGCAGGACTGAGGCCTTCATCCATCTATTCCCATACAATTTGTTATGGTCAAATTATTTCCCATAAATACAATGGCAATCAGCAAAGAAACCATCACTTCTGATGCTAATTTACTTTAGTGCACAAAGACATGAGCAGTTTAGAAGAAGAATTAGAATGAAAAATACAAATATGACTTTTAAAAATCTGTTTAACAAAATTATTCTGTCATTGTGTTTTGTTTTCTTTTTTAAACCAAGAAGAGGCAGAACAAATAGGTGGATGGAATAGGTTATATTTCTGATATTTGTTATCCCTTTCTGCCCCTAAGCAGCTAGTCTAAGATTATGTCTACATTGCAGATCTTACTGCAACACAGCTCTACTGCTGCAGTTGCACTGCTTTGAAGTTTCCCGTGTAACTGCTCTACAGTGGGGACTACGTCTAGACTGGCATTATTTTCCGCAAATGCTTTTAACGGAAAAGTTTTTCCGTTAAAAGTATTTGCAGAAAAGAGCATCTAGATTGGCACGGGCGCTTTTCCGCAAAAGCACTTTTTGCGGAAAAGCGTCCATGCCAATCTAGACGTGGTTTTGCGCAAGAAAGGCCCGATCACCATTTTCACTATCGGGGCTTTTTTGCTCAAAACAGTTTTCAGCTGTCTACACTGGCCCTTTTGCGCAAAAGCATTTCTGGAAAAGGGCTTTTGCCCAAACGGGAGCAGCATAGTATTTCCACAAGAACACTGACAATCTTACATGAGATCGTCAGTGTTCTTGCGGAAATTCAAGTGGCCAGTGTAGACAGCTGGCAAGTTTTTCCGCAAAAGAAAATGCTTTTGCGGAAAAACTTGCAAGTCTAGATGCAGCCTGGCAGTAAAGAACTTTCCCAACTGGCTGTAACTATGGTGATGGGAGATGTGTTCCCGCTGGCATAGCGCTGTCCACGCCAGTGCTTTTGTCAGTGAACCTTATGTCAGTCAGGGCATTGAGTTTTTTTCTACACCTTTGCTCCATTAAAGTTTTCCTGATAATTGTGCTAATTCAGACAAAGCTTGGGTTTCAGGGCTTGTAGGTTGTTCTAATTGGCAGTAGAAATTGATAATGCAGTCTAGTATTTTTTCTAGTATTTATTTACAAGGAATGTACAAAGTCATACTTCTCTAAAATGTTGGAATAACCAAGACCATAAGGAATAGTAACTTGGTCTACAGACCCAAGTTTCTTTCAGCCAACATCCCTGACCTAGATTTCTCCCAGGAATTCACTGCTTATAGATGCAGCTTGACTTACTCTTTTGGTCTCTGAGGGCATGTAAATCCCCTTATTTCAAAATAAGGCAAGCATCCACACTACCAAGCCTGTTATTTTGAAATAATAACTCCTCCTTGTGAAGGAGGAATAAGCTTATTTTGAAATAGTTATTTTGGGAGTTATTATTTCGAATAACTCTCCC